AAAACCTCAAGGAAAGTCCCGTCACATCCCAAGGAAAGATGACTGTGATACCGAGGTGTTGCGCCTGCGCCTGGACATCGCGGACTTTGATCTCGGAACCTTCCTGGGCTCCAAGTTGGCGGATTCCTCGGGCGTTTGGACAGGGAGCCGGGTGGTGTATTTTTTAAGGGGTCCCCACAAAATGTCGTTTTTCTTCCTTTTTTTTCTTTGGTTTCCCATTGACACCACAAAAAAGGGGCACCCTCAAAAGAAGAAGAGGCAGCCACAGGGGGTCCCACAGACCCAATTGGAAACATGGGCCTTCGAAAAGGTTTACAGGACCGCTCAGCCAGTGTTGCCGCTTCCTCATTTCTTGATGACAAACGTGTTTCGCGGACACTGGTTGGTTTTGGAGCACTCCCCAAGGAAATGTGTGTGCTAGGAACAACCATAGTATAACCTACATGTACACCACCTACGACATTTCACTCCTCCCCCGTTTGGAAGTGGTGCGGGTCCGGCCTCCCATTGGGCCCCGTGGCCAAGGGCGGCGGTTTGCCCAAAGCGGCAGATCTAAGCGGCGGGGCCCTGCCGGGAGCCGTGGCCGGCGTCAGACGCTATATATATATATATATGTAGACTACTAACTTCTGAGTTTCCGGACCGTAACGTTTTGGGGCTTACATTTTAGTAGTAACCAGAAAGGTTTGGACTTTTCCGAGCGGGCCACTCCTAACGCGCGTTTGACGGCCCATGTTGCTTTTGCATGGTAAGGGGGTGTCAACAGACTTTGAGAAAGTCGGATGGGGCTTCCAACCCTCCATTCTGAAATGAATCGGCCCAGATATTAGTGAAGTGAGCCGCTTCCTTAAAACACGGGTAAGTGAAGGTTTGTAAGGCAGCAGAAATTTGTCCTTCTGCTTCTTTAGGTTTTGTGCAGACTCATTCAATGCTAGATTTGATGGTGACTCAATTGGGGATTGCAAAAGAAAAGGGTTCCCTTTGGCAATTCTACTTTGGACCACCTTTTGTTCAGCACCCTCCAAATTCAAGTTCAACAAGATGGAAACGGTTCCAACTAGGACCCCAGTTTAAGATGTGACCACAAGGGTATTTTCTGCAGGGCTGCAAAACAAAACTCAATGGACGCATGCCTCAACCAAATCCGTCCGCAGTTTTGACACATCTTGCAGATGAACCACACACACAAACGACTTATTTGGCTGGTTTGGCCCTCGGAAGTTTTGGACTCTTCGCAAACCAACGGGTTTACTTGTCCTTTGCAGTGTGGGCGGGGAAATGGGAGGGACCCGCTTTCGAAGGGACCGATTTGCATGAGGTCAATCCTGCTGGTTTTACAATCGGTTGGTCAACATGATGTTCAGGAGAGCTGTTTGCTGGATTCGGGGTGAGTGGCGTAACAACCTCGTGTAAACCGGTGGAGCTTTCAGACGGGCACTCAGCACCCCTGAATGACTCCATTTCGCAGACCTTTCTGCCGATTTCCTTTTCTTCACGTGATGGCCACCCAGGTCGGTGAGTGCGGGCACAAACGGCCCGGCAGAGAGACTGGAGGAGAGGCGTTTCTGAGCGTGGAAGGAACGAACATGGATCGAACTTACCATCAGCACCCAGACCCGTGTTTGTTCTGTTTACGTTGTTTGGTCCTGCTTCAGCAGTTGGGCAGAGTTTTTCCAGGATGAATACGCACTTCATGGCGACATTGTTTGCATGCTGCGAAGTCTGACGGCGAAACAATTGCTTGGAATGAACGTTGATGAATCGGGACCGTCCAAAAGGGAGTCCCCAATCTTGACAGGGGCTTCTCAAGCCCATAGGGGCAAACAAGCCTATCTAAAAGAGGGCTAGTGGCCGCACAGAGCCTAACAGCCTAACATAGCTGAATTGCAGTCCATCATTGAAACCACCAGCCATGAGAACTCTTGCGGGTGTGCCTTGCGACAGGAGCTTTGGCGGTCTGCAGCCGCATTTCAGGACCTCAGTTTTTGTTCATGGCTTGGGAAAGAGATCAGCAACTCAGCTATTAGGCCATTAGGGTCTTCTTTTTTGAGAGCACAATTTTCGAGGGGTGTATATCAAAGGAAAGCCAAATAGACACCCCCCGCTTTGTGAAGGCGCTTCCCCCCTGAAGCCCATTTCTTGTAGGACACCCTGCTCGACTCAGGCTGGTACTTGGCCCCCTTTGTTGGGGCAAGCTTGGCATACTTTCAACAGGAAACCAGAATCATAATTGGGGTTGCAACGGCGCGTGCTTGTTGACACGGCCACGCAGTCAACAAACATGTCGATGGGTCAGATCCATAGATGTTCGTTTCGTTCAGTTTGGTTGAGACATGGATTCCACGATTTCTGGCTTGGTTCTATTCATTTACCCTTCCCAAAAACACGGAAGTCCACAGAACTCCGTTTGACCTGTTGGTTCTGAAAGGGGTATCAATGTGCCTTCAACATGTTTGTGGGTGGGGTGCCATATGAATACTGGTTGGCACCCAATCGGTGAGAATTGGATTTGTGCCATCCACTTGCAATTCTTGCGTTCAATGCAGGGAGCGGGGCACCTTGTTTGCTCTGGTTATTTTGGCAAAGGAGGCCGGCCCCTGGCCACCCTCGTCGCTGGCAGCTTGCGCCAAGCATCTCTGTGCCGCACTCGGCTTTTGGCTTCTCTCGAGCGGCGGTTTAGGGAGGGATCCTTATGTTACGCGTTTGGGACGGAACAACGACTTGCTGCTTAATCTTTGGCAAGGAGCAAGCATTCAAGGTCAACTCAGGTATCCCCGAATTGGTGGTTTGGGTTGGTGTTTTGGGGATTTGAGCCCCTTAAGCGCCAAACCACCCATCCAAAGCGCCAACTAGAAAGGAACCGCTGATCAACGGGGCAGGGAGGGGTAGAGTGGGGTCTCCAACTCAAGGCCAGGACCCACCCGGACCCCAGTTCCCAGGCGGCGGCGCGACAGACGTGGCCCTGAGGTCGCTCCAGGCGCCGAATGGGGCCGGCGGTCGGAGGGGGGGGGTCCTGGATGGGAGACCCCACTGTAAAAGGGGAACCAAAAGGGTCATTTGACCTAATCTCAAAAGAGCAAGAGTCGTCCAAGAGTCTGTGTATGTCCATGCGTGTTGGAGGGTAAGCATTGCCTTTTGGGCCAGGATTACGGGAGTGCTTGCCTCGTTTGCAGCGATCCTTCCAAGGAAATTGAGAAAGCCCACCTTCCTACGTTTCCCTGTACTTTAGTGTTGGTTGGAACCTGGGAGGGAAAAGGGGAAACCTTTAATCAGGGGGGTCTACTAATCGTCTCCTGACATTACTTGGGGTTTACTTGTTTCATATGTGTGTGCTTGTAGTTATTTGTTCAGAATCTTGCTTGGGCATGCCTTCAGAAAGCTACAGGCACCATCATCTTGAACGGGCTCGCATGGTGTGGGCTTTTGCCTTGCGAGGCGTGCCCTCGCGGGCAAGGCGGGAAGGGGGGGGGGTGTGCATTGGTGTTCCCTTTTTCCAACCGGATGTAGTGAGATTGTGGACAAGCTGACACTGCGTTGCAGGACCTGCGAACTTCGACAAATATTGGGGCTCACTGGCTCCGTCGAGCATTAGTTTGCGAGGGGAAAATCCAGGAGCTGCGAGCATACCACATCATCTTGGCCCATTGCTCACTGGTCTGGGCAGTCTGAAACCGAAGACCCGATATATCCCCCTTACTGTACCTGGCGATCAGTCACACAAACAAGCATGGAAGAGCACACAGGAGAAAATGATCTGAGTACCAGTCCGTTTCATGTAGGACGACTTTGTGCCCAATTGCCCGAAGATCCTCCTTACTCTATGGAGATCCAGGGATCCCTATCGGTCAAGTCCCGGAGTCCACCCACCGTAACGGGTTGGTGGACATCAATCCCTATGTAAATCAGTGAAAGCTTTTTCGTGTGAGAGAGGCCTTTAGTCTTGAGCCTGTCGTTAGTAACGCCTCCTTCTTGAGGTTGAACCACTGTGGACCCTTCAATAGTTTTAGACCCTTGGATAGGAGGAAACACTTTTAAATGGCTGTGGCTGCTCCAAAGCATGTACCACGATGGCACCTTGGTAACCAAAGACTAAAACCTGCGTAGCCCTAGCTCAGTAATTCTGAGCCACACCCAAATGATGTACAAGGTCCCCAACTTCAATCCGATCGCCTTGCAGGCCTCAGCGTTTGTGTGGCCACCTGCTGCCACCACCGCTGTGATCCCGACAGCTACGTGAATCGCCGGTTCCTGGAGCGGCTGGGCCTCTGCGACTCCGCGGAGGACAGCACAAGATTGGCTGTGAATGTGTTGGGTACAGTTTTTGGAGGATATTGGTAGCGGGGAAAGCAATGTTTGGGGTTGGTTTAAACTGAAACCAAAGGAAAACGCATTTTGCGGGGGGGGGGGGGGGGTCCTGTGTTTGTTTGATTTAAAAGGAAACCGGACCTACAAGCCCTTTGCTCGATGGAGTCCGGAGGAAGTTATCCCAACGGTTCAACCCTTGTTTGATTTCTGAAGGGAAGCTGAAAGGAGCGCGACCTGCGTTGTCATTAGGATCCCTCCCCAGCCAGCGAGCTGCAAAGGTCAGGGCATCGCTGCGGCTGGATCCGATGCCTTGCCCTCCTGTTTTGGCTCCCAAACAAGTGTACCATATTCGAACAATCAATCAGTAATCAATCGAATGGTCGAGGGAGCCACGATCACGGTCCTCATTGTCGCGAAGGAAACGGCAGGTATGAAACAACATTCCCCGTGTACCTTTGCACCACGAATAATAAAGGGTGATCTTACAGATGTTTGGGTTTCAAGGGTTCCCGTGTGCCACAGTTCCCAAGCCCCAATCATGCTCAGGCTTTGGTAGAAGAGGCCGACATACTGGTGGGTCCCTCAAAGCCAGCTATACTTTTCATGGGCAGCTTCAATTCCCCAACAAAGTGGGTCAAAAGCAAACCCTGTTCTCCCCCAACCTTGCTCTCATCATGCATAGTTTTTTCCCCCAACCTTGCTTGCGGCTAGGACTTCCGGCAATTCGTCTCCACCGCCGGCTGGGCCGTGGGCGGGGAGCGGGATTTGCAGAAAAAGCGTGCGCCTTGGCCGCAGAAATGGCAGCACTTTGTTTTGCAGGTGGGGGTTGATCAGTGTTCCGGTCGAACTCACCGTGACCATGGGCAACTCTTTGCATGTGGTGATTTAGTCATCCTTTTTTGGCGGTCTCCCAAATGGTTCTTGCAGCTAAAGGACCTTTTGATCAAAGCCCATTTCTTGTCATCAGGTTTGGGTGAAATCCAGGATAGCAAAACAGACTAGCATACCGAGGTGACTCATGAATGCATCAACATGTTGGATTTTCACCTGGGTTGGGCAAGATTTGTGACCAAGCAACCGGTTTTCATGCATGAAACCTGCGCCGCTAAAGGGCGGGCGATTTGAGAGGAAACACTGGGCTAAAGCGTTAACCGCAGGTGGTCGCTTGTCTTGACTCTTCATAAGTGTCCACTTGGGCCACCATTTTGGCTCAAGTGGACTCTGACCTTCTGTCTTGTAATCTGAAATCTTTCTTTCCCCTCCTATCAAAGCCATGTACGCCCCCGCCTACGCTGGTGCCGCGGTTGCAGAGGCCAAGGCGAAGGCAAAGGCCTCCATGGCGAAGTACCTGGCAAGCCTCGTGAAGAAGGAGGAAGAAGGATGGACCGTCTTGGCTGCTGAGGTCCCTCAGGCACCTGACGAGCGGTTCTTCTCCAGCGTTGTCCCCTCCTCGGTCCGGGCGGTGATCAGGAACTGCCCCATGGAGCTGGACGAGGATTTCCTGACGGCCCCAATGGGGGAGAGGCCTCCATTGCCGGGCGACAAGGAAGAGGGTCAGGAATGCAGGGCCTTCCACCCGTCGGCGGTGAAGGCTTTCAAAATCCAGACCCGGCTCAACGCCACCACCATTGCCCAGGAGGAGGCCAAGAAGGCAGACCAGGTGGCAGCGGTGGAGCGATCCGCGGCGGTCCTCCACGAGCTTCAAGGAGGGGCCATTGATGGAGGAGGCGATGGGGGCCTACTCCTCAAGAATTTGGACTTGGACCTTTTCCGCGAAAAACTGCTGGATAAGCTGGGCGCGGACTGGGGGAGGCCCACACCGGAGCTCCTCCAGGCCCAGACCACTGCGGAGGAGGCGAAGGCAAAGCACCAGGCCAGACAAGCGAAGGGCGCCCACGAGACCAGAATGCTCGAGCCCATCAAGCCTCCATTCAGTGCGTGGCCTAACGAGGTCCGAGTTGCCATTGAGACGGGGGTCTTTGAGCCGACCACGGCATGGAGGGATTTCAGCATGGACGACCTCACGTCCCTCACGGACTCTTACCTCGAAGCCAAGGCGGTCATCTCGCTGGGTAGGAACCCCTTTCCGGCGGCCCTCCTGGCAGATCTGCCGGATCTGGCGGGGATCCCCATTCCAAAGGCGGGGGGCTCTGGTGCGGCGCGCCCAGGTGCCGAGGGCCCTGACAGGCAGCCCACCATCCCCCCAGCCTCGGGCTCTGGCGCGACGAGCTCAGGTGCCGAGGGCCCTGACAAGCCGTCTGCCACCCCAGGGGGCCTGGATACCCAGGACCCGGAGGTGCAGCTCGCGGTCCTGCGCTGGATGATGAGCAAACGGGTCGGAGAGGTCCGTATCTTTGCGGGCCGCTGGGTCCGACGACCGGGCCCCGTACACGTCCCGGACTGGGCCAACAACCTCACCAAGGTGAATCCGGAGGCGCTGGAGAGGGGTACGCATCCCAGGAACCACCAGGTGGGTGGACTCCCATGGGCCAGGTACTCCGTTGATGAGTTGAACCAGCAGGCTAAGGCGGGGGACCGACCCTACCCCGAGGACCTGCGTTCCATCTTCTGGGCGGCCCCCCACGATCCGGATGAGGACTTCCACTGGGCGCGCCAGATCTCGTCCTGGACACTTCCAGGCTTACTGGGGATGTTTGGTCACAGCTTCACCCTGCGCCAGCTCTGAGTCTGGGAGTCCCTGCCACTGCTACAGGGCCCTAGGCAGCGGGGCCCGAAGAACAAGGCCCAGAATCAGATCCGCCTGGAGGGCTGGGAGACCCTGAAGGAAGACGCGAGGAGGGCCTTCCGTTTCCGCAGACAGGACCGGAGTGGCGGTTGGTCTACCGGGCCATGGGCAAGGTCCTCGCGGCCCGGGCCTTCCTCACGGACACCCCGGCGGAGGTGATGCAGCTCCCGGTCCAGGACGTGGCGGACTCCAAGGAACAGATGATCCTTCGGGCGGTATGTGATGAGCGCATATCTGTCCCGGTGGAGAGTCTCCAGCAGTTCCCAGAGGTGTACAAGGCCCTCATGGACCGCATTGGAGGCCCGGGGGCCCTGCCAAGGTGAAGGTCAATTGGCGCTGCAACACGAAGCAGTGGTGGGTCGGCGCAGTCCCCGACTCAGTAGCCCCCTCCATCTACCGCAAGCTCGGTTACACCAACGACATGATCAAGCTGATGGGCCTTGACCCCTCCGCCCCTGGGTGCCGGACAGGTGCCGATGGCCCTGACATCCGCCCCAGGGGAGGAGAGGGCGATGAGGGGATCGTTTACCCCCCCATCACATCGGACAACGTCCACGGCGTGGTGGGCAAGGACTACCGGAAGAAGAACTATCCGGCGGAGACGAAGCATGTCTTCTGGGCGCACATGGAGTGTGGCCTGGTCCTGAGCTCCGTCACCCCGTGGGAACTCATCCCGAAGACAAAAGGGGAGACCCGGGGGGGCTACATGTGCAAGTACTGCAAGGGGTACTGGCGCGCCGGGGGAGGGGGCACCCGCCTCCTCCAGATCCGGGCCGGCAAGGCCATCCTTCAGCTGGTGCTGGACGAGCCGCCGGATGGCCTGTACAACCGCTGGGTCAAGGAGCGGTTGGAGTTCTACCGCCGGGTAGAGCCCTCTGCCCCGCTGCGGGATGTCTCCGTGGTGGACCAGAAAGTCCCCCGGTTTAGGTTCAGCCACATCACCCAGACCGGCCATGTTTCAAACGCCATCTGGGAGCTGATTCTCCGGAATCCGGAGGCGGCGGCGCTCAAGCGCATTGACGACATTGCAAAGGGGGCCGTATGATCATACAGCACTGCGGCCATCCGGAACGGATTCGCAGCGCACCCCGGGGGGGACAGCTGCCGAAGGCGCTGATATCCCCCCCTGGGCACAGCACAGGCCTAGACCTGTACCAGGCGAGAAAAATTGGCGCGCTTGGGCTGGTCCGGGGTGCGCCTTGGCTCCCCTCCCTTGCTTGGTTCTTCCCTTTCCGGGGCGGCTCCCTGGGTCCCCCCAAAAAATGTAGAAAAGGCTGATTCTAGGGGGTGGGGGGTTGATGGTTGCCTGTTCTGTTTTTTATTTCACATTTCAACACGTGTACCACCTTATTCGTTTTTTCAAGGCTGATTTTGGGGGCATGAAATAACGATATGGATGTGGCAACGAATTGATGATTTGGTCCCCTGTCTCGTTCCAGATTTCAACTTTTAGTTTTATTGATTGAAAGAGGATAGGACTTTCTGTGGTTTCACGGGTTGGCTTTTGGGCGGTTGTTGTGGTTTGTCATTTAATGAAATGTTTATAGATTAAAAGTTCACTATAATTATAACATATAACAATATAAATGATATAATTATGGTTTAGTTATGAATTACACAGGTTCATCAACAATTAGCTTAAACCTTATGTTTTGTACTCCTCCAAAATTCATTCTACTTCTTTCATCATCAATACATCTGTATATTGTTTGATGTGCCTCCATCATTACTTCGGATATATTATCTATGGTTATATTATCTACAAAATCATCACTACGAAAATAAAAACTAAAAGTGTTAAAATGGTCGTCTTCATAATTGAAATGATGAAACCTTACAAACATATTTACCTCAACTATTATCACTGCTTCATAACCGTTATCGGTTTCAATGCCATCTAACAAACAATCTAAGTTTTCATTTTCATTAAAAACTATATCTTCGATGCTTTCAATGCTTAAAGGTATATTTCTTGAAATGTAATACTCAATTATGTGTCTCTTGAAATCATCGCCATCTTCAACAGTATAGCGCTTTGTCTTTCTTTTTGTTTCTGTTCTGTCTATTTTATATCGTTGTTGTATTCTCTTTAATGTCTTAATATGATTATGTTTTAGTTTCAAATACTCAGGTCGCCCTAATTTATATGCAATGATACCTTTTAATACATCAGCAGGTAAGCTAGCACAATTCTCAAATATAAAATTATTCTCTGACATTTTACCCTCACTCATTTTTCTCTTAATATATAAGGCTTTTTCTCTTTAAGTAGTTTTGGCTAGGGGTTGCTGGTTGGCCAGTCTGGGTTTCAGGTTTAATTTAATTGTCTTAACCTTCTTGTTAGATTATAAAAACAATGTTTAATCATATTATAAGATGATAATATTAATAAACAAAAGTTAATTTGACCCGTATTCAATCTCACCAGCGATACAACCAATATAACAACTCATACTATACTCACAACAATAATGCCCGTATCCTTTTATTAATTGGTCTATGTAAATGTCAATTAATTCGCTAAGAATATATCTCATATAATAATTGTTATTTCTATATGACCAACAACTGTTTAGGTTTGGAAAGCTAAATCCACAACGTTTAAAATTTTTTAAATCTTCAATGTCAATACATTTTTTTAAAATGATACAAACTTCATATTCATTATTCTTACAGTATGATTTTAATGCTTGATAATACATTTTTCTATTTTTAAACCGTTCTTTAACTTCTTGTATATCAAATACTCGGTCAATGTGTTTTCTGTAATGTCTTATTTTCATACTATATTGGTTTTCTGCTAGTAGAGTAAACACATTATTTTGCATTAGTTTAATAACTTGTAATTGAAGTTCTGCTTTTTCCAGTCCTTCTTCAGGAATGTCTTTATCTCTCATAAAATGTTCTTCTTCATGCATCAAATACCAGCAATCAAAACATGTTACTCTAATACAGCCACCTATAAGGTTACAAACATTAACAGGTAAAATATTAGCTAGTGCTACGACAGACTTACATTTTTTATTTTTACAAG